CAGCAGACCGCCGAGAGAGCGGGCGGGCTGGGGCGTGCTGGAGGAAAACACCCGGCCCCCGGGGAGAGGGCGGCCGGGGCCGGGGCCTGAGGGCGGCCTGCGGGCAGCCGGGGCCCGGTGAGGGCGGCCTGCGCCCCACCTGCGGTTCCACCCGCACCGAAAGCCACCGTCCTGCACTGGCTTTAGCATGGCCCGAAAGCAACAGGTGCCTTCTCCCGCTCATCCAGTTCCAGTACAGCAAATGGAAGGGCCGACGTGGGTTTTCAATCTGATGGGGTCTCTTTAGCTCATAGCTATTGCTTGTATCATCCTCACTTTGGTTCCCCGCACGTACGGCTTTTGTTTCAGAGTCAACAGTCCTGGCAACTGGATCTGTGCCCAGTGGGTAAAAAGTGTGGTTGAGAGTCGAGACAGGCAATGACCACGTAACAGTAACGAGACCATTTTCTCAAGCCACCGTGTACAACGTAGGTGACCCTCGACTGTTTTCATTGCTCATGATCTTTCCTGCCTAGATGCAACAAATACCAAAATATTCTAGACTGATCCAACACCAATTTTTTTGTTTGCTTTAAAGAGCAAATTCCAAATAAATGTTTGAACACACTATGCACGGTATTGTTTTACAGACATAATTTTCTCCTGACTTCATTAAGCGATCTTTGAAAAGTTGCTCTGCCTCATAAGTTTTCTGTGCCTGTTGGATAAAACAGCAAAAACAGGCCTAGACCTAGGAGAGCCACGGGCTGCAGTTTCTAGACACATCATGAAACATGACCCGTCTCATTTTTCACAGTTCAATGACATGTATACGTTTGCTATGTAGCTAACTCACACCACAGCTTTATGGGCACTATTGATCATCTTGAGGAACTGCGAGGAAACAGTTATTCCTGCCTGATCACATTTAGTCTTAGTTGAATTTCTGAGCAACAACGGAAATCGGATTTCAAACTTCTGCTATGCTTCGCATCTGGGGAAGCGGCAATCTCATCTTCTGTTGAGGATCTGCCTGGGCAGGAAGCTGTCTTATTACAGCCTCTCTTTAAAACCCAAGCGCTTTCTGGTTTGGTTTGAAATCACTCGTACATGCTTCTGAAGATACGCAGAAATTGTAAGACTTGCGCTACTCCTCTGTTTGCATTGTGATGGCACCGAACCAAGAGCAGTGCACCAGATGGTACAGACGCAGTAAAAAGTCCACCCCCCATCGGCCTACCAAAAAAACCAAAATACACTTAAAATCACTTCAGAATTAATGTTCTCCATTTATTGGTCATCTAGTTTCAATAAGCATTTTCTAGGCAGCACAGCAGGAAAGAATTTTAGCATGACAGCTGAACAGCCCTTCGGATTTTCACAGAGATCTTCTCTGATGCATAAGGGGCAGCACAGAGAAATGTAAGAAAGGAATTAGGATGGCCATACTACTTTGATATTTATTAAAATTCTATGCTTTGCTTTTCCTTTTCGCCCAGTGATGCAGTGTTATCTGGAAAGCAGGCCAGCATGTGTTGGGGGAAAAAACAGCACAAAAGCTCAGCCATAATTACAAGCCTCCAGAGAACTAGAAAAAGTGTAATTAATTAATCATCCACTACGCTGACAACCTACGTAAACCAAACTAGATACAAGACGTCGGTACAAGTGAAACTGGGTAAGAATGCTGGTTTACTTGATCGTTCAACAAGTATTCCAGTACTACTCGTACGTACTGCATCTCTTCAACAGTGTTCCTATCTTGAGGCTAAGCAGAAATTTCTGGTCATATTAGTAACCCTCATAGCCAGAGCCCTTTCACGTGTGGGGCAAGAACAAAAAAGCCAACTGTGACCACAGGAAAGTTAAACAGGCCATTTCTGTGCCTGCCAGAGGCTTTCTACAACCTGGACATTTGGCACCCGGCCCTTTGCTGCCTCTTTCATTAAGTCGTTAGGCATTAGCCATACCTGCAGCTTGTGCATCTTAACAGTATCTTACAGCAACGCTCCTTCCTTTGGAATATCTGGGTCATGTGGAATCACAAACCATCTGGGTACGCCAAACAGAAGCAGGGTTATATTTGAGTAATTTAGAAAGAGGGGAACCAACACTGCTGTGGAATTAACAGTTCTTCCAATGCAAGACTAATGTTTCCAGGCCCACCCCTTAAAGAACAAACAAGCAGCTCTTCTGGAGAACAAATGAGAAAAATAAAGCTTTAAACCATTTTGTGATGATTACAGATGAGTCAGTTGTGAACTGTATGCGTTACTTCGGAAGACAAAACAGAACACTGTTGAACTTGAAAACAGCAAGTACTGATTATCTTGAATTGCTGCCAGCTCTTTAGATACACTATAGAAAGGGAAAAGGAAGAGCAGCCTGTGGGGAAGAAGTCCGCTACTAAGTTTAGGAACAGCAGGTTCTTCCCAATGTTTTGTTTATGGAAAGAACGGTACCACGCCACTGAGATTCTGCACAGTCCCAACTCTTAGGGAAGTGAAAAAGGGCAGCCCGCTGGTGGGCAAGAAACCTCCTCTCAAGCAATTTTAGACAAGCACTCAAACAGGAACTAAAATCAGCTATTGTGTCTGGGCACTAACAGCTCTGAAGTACTGCACACATCTGCCTGCTATCCAATTAAAAGCAAATTTAACTATCGATTTCTCAAAATAATTAGTAACAAAGTATGTAAATGTGGACATTAAACACATCTGTTTATCTACAAGACCTGTAGGAAGAAGCAATACCTTTATTTGTAAGTCACCTTATACTTACTATATGGCTTTTTTGTCCCATATGGCTGTATTGCCACTAATAACTGCCATCTCCTTCCACCCCAGCCCACCCCTCAAGAAACCTGTAATATATGCCTTTTAGTATATGCATATGGCACAGCAACCTGAAACGAAGTGCAGCCAGCTAGCAAATTAGTACTGAAGGCTTCTTAGGAGATGACTCTCTAACACTGGAATTCTTCACTTATTATTGGGTTACTCTGTGCTGTTAAAAGCTGTGGTAAACCTGTGACAGAGCAGAGAACAGTCAAGTAGTTGCAACTTCTGTTATAAAGTTTCTTTGGTAGAAAAGTATTTCAGGTAGGCTCGGAAAACTCTTGTTACCAGATACTCTGAGATTAGTATTTGCTCACTGGAGGGCTAAAGATGGTTACAATAGGAAGAAAGGTGTGTGTTTTGTTTGCTTTTTAATTATTTCAAGATTAAATACAGTACGTCAAACGCAACAAATGTTTGCTGATGTTACGTTGTTGAAGATGTTCAGGTAAGTTGTGCTGCAACTGCAGATACCCTTCCTATTTAGATACTCAAGACAGCCAGTTTGGACACATTATTATTGGAAAAAATTATATTTTGGAAGAACTCACTACAGAAGGTGACAGAATTCCAAAAATCAAATTACATGAAAATATACATCGCAATTTTCTTTGTACATTAGGTGAGGAAAACTCTGAAGTAGAAGGCAAAGAATATGGAGGGCCACAGAAGGGAGAAAAGGGAAAAGGAGGGAAACTATTTTTGATACCAAACCCAGACGTTAGTCATTTGAAAGCCTATAGATGTGCATGCTTGAACTCAACCTTGAGAAAAAACAAGCCTCCCCCACACACACCCCGCCCCACAAACAGGCAATGAAAAAGGCAAAAAAAAAAAAAAATCACCCATAAAAAGCAGCTCATTCCTATCTTGGACTAACTTAGTCAACCGAACTTCCCAATGAAAGCACTCAAGTCCCTTGGAAGTTAAAAATCCAGCAGGCTGCTTAAGGGTGCTCCATGGCCAGTTTTATTGCTATACCCAATTCAAGAAGTATGTGCAATTGGGTTTAAAAAAGGGATGGGAAGAGAAAAAAAAAAAAAAAAAAAAAGAAAATAGCACCTTTGAGACTACAAAGGTCATCATAAAAGAAGACACAAGTAATTCATAGCAAATCCTTTCAGGGTTTAATTAGGAAAATTTTAAGTTCTGATGGGGGAAATAAAAGGGAGCACATTTCCAAAAACCAAAAAAGAGATACTAAACTTTAATAAGCAAGAGATTTTAATTAAGCCTCAGTGGGTCAAAGGAAAATTAAAGTGGGGGGAAAAAAAAAAAACCACAACTTTATCCTAATTGGTTTTAGTTTGACATGCTTCACAAGTTGTTGTTTTTTTTTAAACTGATAGGAAACAATGAATAGGGAGAGAAAAACCTGCTAAAATCTTTAGAATTTACACGATTCTATTCCTAACTACAGACAGCATTATTTGGTACAATGTGTATTTGTGGATGTACATGAACAGTATATATATTATCCGGATCATGTTGTGCTATGTACACATCTTTACAATTCTTCCTGAAGGTTAAAGCAGTTCATTAGATTTCAAAATGCGTAATCATCTTGTGTTGGCACTTGTTAGGCTCTTGTCAGCATTGATAACTGGCATGTTTTATTGCAGCCCAGTTCCAGCCAGTGTTTGCCAACTTGTAACAACAGAAGTCCAGCAATAGGTGGGTAGAGTGCAGGAAAAAAACAGTGCCATGTTTCTCAATTGAAGACCTACAAAGAAATCACAGTTATTAAAATAAAACCCTTCATCATCCTCAATTATTTTAAAGATGTTAAATAGTGTTTCAAGCTCAAGGAAAATAATCATTACTTGTTCAAGAACTTTACATACCTCTAAACAGAAGACACATAAATCCAAAATCATCACCTGAGAAAGACTTGAGTTAGTTCAGCATGCTGCGTATCCAAGCTCAACTACCAGACTTTCAGGCTCCCGTTACGCGTGTTGCTTGTCAAGTGCATAACGTGTAAACGTTTGATTATTCACAGATAGGGCTAAACGCTTGTAGATTTATCATTGAAGCTTCCGTGCATCACTTACTGTGAATGATGGATGCTGCTTCAACAGCGCAGTGCAGTACAAAATAGCATAGCAGTGCTTCATTAAGCAATAACACCACAGCTACCAAGTCAGACTGTGCTTGTTTGAAACCAGCTATATGGCCCCTTCTCAGCCAATTCATTGCCCATCACTTAGGAGGAGTCACCAGGACTTAGAAAAGCTTTTGCCTTCCAAAAAAGCAACACAGCCAATTACTTAAATAATTGTCATGAGCGCTGTTTCACTATGGCCAAGTTTAACATGGCAACAGAGCTGAGGTTAGTTAAGGATACTCTGGAGCGTTACTCACAGTTACTCCCTTTCTCTAAGACAGAAAAAACTGTCAGCTGCATTAACAATTCTTACACTCTAGTTATAGGCAGTTGTATAAGACATTCAGTTCCTTTGCTCAGTCTTTTGATCGATATTAACCATTTTCATGCTTTCTCTATACTGGAGAAAGTTCTGTTCAATCAAAGCATTTCTGCAGAGAAGAGAGACTGCAGTACTAGTTTGTCACAGATGGAGCCTTCCCCAACCCCCACAATTCTTACAGAGGTGTAAGAAAGGAAGTATCTCCTGTACAACCTTGGTGAAGAAAAACCAGCTAGCAGGAGCATTTAGTAAGCTGGTCTAGTTGTTCAGACAGTACAACCCCTTTAAACTACAGTGTCATGCTTTCCCTCCAACAAGTTTTGTACACTGAAGCTAACTAGTACATATGGTTTGGGGCTTCTCCAGCCAAACAGGTCAGAGTAGTTTATTTGCCAAACCAACCATTAAGAAAGGGCAGCTTCAACATGAAGCTCTGTTCTGCTTTGAAAAGCAAGAGTGGGAAATTATTAGCTAGTTGAGGAAGTTTTTCCTTGGCATACAAAGATTAAAGTGACCAAAGGCCAGGTATTTAAGGGCCATGCAGGGCCATACAGAGCTTTCAACAAGAGTTTATTGTGTAAAAAAAAAAAATTCCCATTAAAACTAGGATGGGATTGTTCAAATTAGAGTAAGTGTCTTGAGTCAGAAGCTCATTTTTAACAGGGTGGCATAAAGTGTAAATATCACGTCAGCTACTCTCAGGTCAAAACTCGTCCAGGCTCTCAGATACGCTACAGTTCAGTTTCCAAGCAGAATATAGCTGTTTTTCTGAAGATACTCCTAAGCCTTCCCCAGTAAAAAAAGTTTTTTGGGCTGCTTAAGAGAACACCACCTTTCTTGATATTATTGAGGGGTAATATCTCACCTTGATCCTTTCTGATATGCTAGTAGACTTTCTATTAGAATTCCCACAGATACCTGGAGAAATCCTTTCTGAATGGTTCCTAACAACCTCACTGAAGTCTTATTTAAAACCTACATGCAACATGCCACCAACATCTGCAAGATAAATATATATATAAATATATATATATATGAATGAATTTGAGATAGCAAGACAGGATGCTTTTCAAATTCAAACAAGTGTTCTTCACAATAATGAACATGAAAGAATGATTATTCCCTTCTATTACAGCTCTAGTAACCCCTAAGCACTGTTCATAAAGCAGGATGAATACTGATAAAGAGAATTTCAACTTCTGAATAGCATAAATGCAAGAGTACTGGAGAAGTTCCCCAGTCTTGGCAGAAGGGGCTGTTACTGCACTTGAAAATTCTTTTTAGTCTTTAGTATCACATGCAGCCAAAGAACTCCACTGAGACCACGCAGCTGAGAAGAAAGGTTGTTTGGTTTGGGTTTTTTTTTGTTTTGTTGGTTTGTTTTTGTTTTGTTTTTTTTTTTTTGCTTTTGAGGAAAAAAAGGTACGTTCAGCAACACTTAGGCAGGAAATCCTCAACTCAGGTAACTGACTTGTCTTTAGAAGGATACTTACCCTGAAAAAAGTGAAGCTACTAGCTGCTGAATAAGTGTCACTCAAAAGCAGTTTCTTGGCTTTTTCTTACACAGCGGGCAACTTTTCTTTTAAATTCTCCATTTCTGTCTTCTCTCCATTCTTTCTGTAATTGAATAGACAGCTTTCAGATGTCAGTCCTATAACAACGTACAAGTTAAGAATACTCTTGGTGTTTTTAGACATTAGCCATCAAGTCAACAGCTAAATTTGCTTACAGTCACTGAGCTAGTCACCGAAAACCTGTGACATTCAGGACTTTTGAAAGCTTGCTCTAGGTTTCTGTGCAAACTGCTCACAGGATAGTGAGGCGGCAGCCATTCCCCCTTGGATTTTAGGCATTCTCCAAGACTAACCTGGTGGCTACCAATATTTCACAATGTCTAGGCTGAAATCTATTTACTTCAGCCTGCAAAGTAGCAGTAAACTCAAACTGTAGACCACAAGCTATTGCTATGGGTTAGAGAAAATGTCTTTAACTGCAGTGATGAAAAAAGGTACACAGCTACTGTGGAGCCAGTAGTTATTCTGTGATTTTTAGGACAGTTTCAACTCCCTCTCAATCCAGCCAGGACACTCTAGGATAGAAATACAGAAGTCACAGTGTTCAGAAGAGGCACAGCAGTGTCCTTAAAAAGAAAACTCCTTGTTAGATACAGCTGCAAGATATTTGCCTCATGAGGAAGACCTTAACAGAATACTCAGCGCACCTATGGAGATGGCCTCTGTGACAGGTACCTGATTTCAGAACTGCATAGAAGAAGAACAAAGATAAAGATGAACAGGAAGATAGGCAAGAGGTAAGTCTGAACCTGGAGATGCGCACACCATGGTATCACCAAAACCCACAGGAAAAAGCGCAGCCAGTTTTAAGTTTTTTGTGCCAGCCTCGTGACAAGCTCAGATGAAAGCATAGGAGCATCGCACACTGTGACTAAGGCTGACATGTTGGGTACTGGCAAGAAAGTGTTGGAAAAATATGAAGAACCCCTTATTTAATGAAATCAGTTCTACAATTCTTAGTTTTTTTATATAAGCAACATATTCTTACTGCAGGGGTGGGGGAAAGAGGTTAAAAAAACCCCACGCTGTGACCTGAAGCAACCTAGCACACACCACCTTTTCACCCCCTACTTGGAGTGAAGGTTGTAGCACATTTGAGCAAGAGAAAATTAGGATAACTGGTATATCTTAACGTTCACCACCTCCAAGCTCACCTAGCCAGTCAGCATGCTGGAAAGCCCAGCATGTCTTATTTTTCCAGTGAAAGCACAAATAAGGCTACTAATTAATTTGTTCTTTTCAGCAATTAATACAGCAAGCATTTGGTTCCTTGGATTGGGAGATAGGACAGCTTACACAAGATGGCTTAAGGCCAAGAAAAGCATTGAATTTGTGCCCTCCCAGCTTCAGATTCTTAGTTTTTGTTTTTACCTTTTATATTTGTAGTTCTGTGAAGCAAATGTTCAGAATTGAATAACAAGCAAAGTTTCCAATTTGACAGCAATCTCTCCAAACCTCTTATTTTAGGTCATGAACTGTTCTATTTGCTCCTCACAATACCTACTCAGGCTCCCGTCCCTCATTTTTCTCCCACTCCAAGAGACAGTACTCCAATGTGCACAGTTCTTTTTTCCAGGAAGTGAGTATATCCTCTGCTCCTATAATGCTGTGACCTGCGTGTAGCACCTTATTCTCTAGACTCACTAAAAACTAGAAATTAATGAAAGCAGACAAAGTATCTTTTAATAACTGCCAGATACTGTTGCTGCAATAAACTTGTACTTCATAAACCAAGTAGAAGGCGTCTTGATAGCAGCTCAGAATAAAGCACATGGGCTGCTGATTCTTCATTACCCTGATGAGTATGTTCTGGTTAATATGAAGAGGATGCAATCTACAATTGAGCAGGAGATGCTAAGCTGTTCAAGCAGCACATTAAGGTTAAAAGTTACTTGGAACATCTAATACCACAATCAGAAAAACAGTTACTAGCATCCAAAGGTTACATCAGTGATGCCTCAGTACCGCCTTCACAGTTGGATTTGGATTTAAGCTTTTGTTCTTTCAAGCTGGGCTAGAAAATGCTGTGTTTCCTTAAGACATTTTCAACCTTTACCCTAAGGTTCAAGTAAACAAATTCATAGTTTTCTAGCTAACATCTCTCTGAGGGGGTTGAAAACACTCCTGAAGTGGCTGGCAGAGAGTGGGGCACACTACAGAAAGATTAAAAATCTTGTTAGATACTAGGAAGGTGACAAGCATAGCTAAAAGTACAAGCTTTCTCCAGTGTTAGGTTGGCTACATGAGTCTGTAAAGTGAGGAATTCTAATTGTACTTTTAGCATTTCATTAATAACTTGCTCCTTCCAGTGCTCTCAGGTTTGCCAGCAGAAAACATCCACATGCCCTGGGTATTTGTTTCCACCAGTAACGTGACACAAGAAGGGGAGGTCTAACACTGAAAAGAATGTGAAATGAGGGAAATCTTCACCACAATATTTTGTGTTCATTTTTGTTTTTCTTCCCATTAAGTTTGTTTCACATGAGACTGTTCCCATGATGATTTTTCAGCAGAGCTCAACCACCTTAGGAAATACTAACAGCATAGGAGATCAAAGGCTTCAGGAAACTAAACTCCCACTCACTTTGGGAAGGTATAGCTAGCTTGACAGAGCAGGTGAACATGCTTCTAGAAAACTTGGCATCTTCTGATTACCATCTCCCTTTTCCTCACTACCCCCGTTAAAAGACCTAGAACTTCTCTTTTGAGAGGATATCATGCATTAGTCACTGCTGAACTGCAATTCAAGAGTAATTCAAAGGAAAGTATGTTGGCATATCTCAAATGAATGGGACCTGAAGCCTGCTCCCCTACTCCCCTCAGAACTGAGAATTTTTTCCCTCCCCACCACAAACAGTTATTAGTCTAATTGCTATTCTGCTATAAACGCAGTTCTTCTAGAGAGCTGATAGCTGTGTTTATACACCCACGCAGAACAGGCCATGCTCCAGAAACACTATGCTGCATGAAACACTTGCATCTCACTTGTCACAGAACCCTTACTGCAGATTCACCCTGGTCTTCAGCTATAAACCAGACCATTCTCCCTCATTCCTTAGCCAGTCATTCTAGTCTGGGACAACACTTCCTCCAGAGTTGAAGGCCAGACGCCCAGTGAAGCTTTCCAGTACGTTCTCAAAGCACAGACCTACAGAGTCAAACCTACTGCTTTAATCCACGACCCAGGAAGATTGCTGTAGAGAGGTGGATGCAAAAAGTCACAACACATTTATACTGAGGGACCCCACCACGTTTTCTCCTTCCATTCAAATTGCTAAATCTGTTAACAGCTGATACAATTTCCAAGACAAAAATTTTCCTGCCTCATACTAATAACATACTAGGAACCAGAAAAGGTTCTAGAATATGTTAACTTCTGCAGCTACACTTAATGGCAGTTGTAACTGCTACATGTATAAAGCCACACAGGATTTTACAGCCAGTTTCCTTCAATTTTTTAAGACTAAAGGAGCTGAAGTTTATCCATTAAGTACCTCTGCACATAAGTTATTTACTACAAATAATTGCATTATTGCATAGGAGAAATTAAACCACTGCCTATGAAATCTGACAGCATCCTTCCCTTGCAATCCGTAAGAAATTTCCCAGGGCTAACTAGCAGTTCTGTTTCACAACATGACTGCTTTTCCCAACAAAAAGGTAGCCTTAGCCTGTGATATAAAAGGTTCTTTCAAAAGTTATTGTACTGTTTGTCAAACTAGAAGCAAAACTCCATTGCAAGTTTAGGTTTCTACACTGAAGACAACTGGCAGACTAAGAAAAATCTTACCGCTGCATCAACATTAGCAGGAGAATCACCATTGGGATCTGCCAGCATAGAAATAACACTAATCATTATAGTTTCCACTGTGTGAATGGGAAGCCAGCGTTCCTCAGGTTTTTCATAGCCATATTTGTCTTCTCCAGGCTCATGAAGAATTGAAATGCAGACATCGCCATTCTTGTCAACTACAAAATAGAACAAGGCATATTTCAGTAATGAACAACATGCTGGCATTTCTTCAGGATAGTTATGGAACTGTTAATCTTCACTCCAGCTAGTCTGAAAACGTGTTGGTGAAGACTCTTTACAAAAAAAGAAAGTAATTAACTATTACAGAACTCAATCTGTAATAAATAGGGCTTGGTGGAAGTCTGTTGTTATGCCTGGACCTCTGGCAGAAAGGGTACACATGGAGGAAGAACTTAATTTTAACATCGTGTTGCAACTTTCAAGAGTATTTAGATAGGCTTCCGCTAAAGCTTTTTCTGTTAAGTTCAGCAAACTAGACAGTGACTTTTTTTTCCACAGCAACAGCTGGATATTACTGCAATATATTGGAATATGATTTAAGCTGCTGGAATTAGAAACTGCCTGACAAGTACTCTGATATTTCCAGAGCTGAAACTGACACAACGTCAAAATAGTCTCTCTGCCCCTTATGATGGCAGCACTGTGCTGGTCTCCACCCAGCTTTCAACATCTGCAACTTCAATAATGACTTTAGAAACTGAAAAGCATTCCTCATTCCCAGTAAAAACCTTCTTCCATTTTATTATACCTTTCCATCTATGTTCAGCAGCCCATAAGTAAATGAAACATTAGGAGGAATCTTCTTTGGAGGGACTAAAAGATGCCGTTATTTCCTTTCACACTTCACTGGAGGAGGACAACCTTGGGCCTTCTATATTGAACTGCCAGGTTAGTAATACTAAGATGAAATGTTTGAAGGTATAACAAAAGGCAGCTATGGAAGTCAAGGTTCTCCTCAGACCAGAATTTCTCACTTAGGAAAAAATAAGAATTCCTGAACAGGTACCAAGAATTCAAGAAGCTACTTCCAAGTAGCTTCTAAAAGTACTTTAGGAGCAGTCTTTCAGAGCAGGACTATTAAAGACTCTGCCATGGTTATTACTTCTTTATGAAGTGAAGATAGCAAAGTAAACACAGAGTTTCATATTTCTAACACGAACAGAAGTGTATCCATTTGTCTTCACTGCATTTTAGTTCTCAATTGCAAAAAGAAATTGAAACTTTGACATTTCTTACCATTCGGATGCCAGATTTCTGTGATGAATTTCATTTTTGGCGGCCTCAGTGGATAGTCTTTTGGAAAAGTAAGATGAGCCTTGAAAACACCACCTTCACTAGGGAATCAAAAATATTTTCTTGTAAGCTTAAGCTGAAGATTAGAACTTACTGATGTATCAAAAGCTCTAAGTTCACCTCTCACACAGCTCAACATCATGTTAGTAATTAGCAGTACCATCATTTCCATATGCAATGCAAAGAGTTGCTAGATTGAGAAGATCCTTTCACAAGATACAGCGTTGGGGAACTCACAGTATCTTTTTTAGAATTAGGATGATGTTCCAGAGGGGAAAAAACACACCAAAAAAAGAAAAAAAAAAATCAAAAAACTGCCAACAAATTCACCATCTGGAATTACAACTTACATTTTTCCTCCCAGTACATTTATTAACAGCAAAAAAAAAAGTATTGCCAATAACTCCCCTTCTCAAGTACAGCCCAGCAGATACCTGTTTATTTTCCTCCTTTAGACACCTTGGTCCTAATTTCTTGATATCAGTCTGCAGCAGTGAGCCTCAGTGAAAAGTTACAGAAAGCTTTATAGTTGTGTCTACAGCATTACTTCGCAAAAAGACTTCCAATACTACCTTTTCAACACTAAGCTAAAGGGACTCAGACATGACAGTGAGGTGTTCTGCATTAGAGTTACCCACTAAACTGGAAAACAATAAACAAGAGACATCTAGTTTTTATGTGGAGTTACAGGCCCATATTTAACTACGGTAACAGTTTGGGGTTGGTTTTTTTTTTTGGTTGTTTTTAAACTAACTAGATTTCAATACCCTGGAATAGTCCCTTTTGAAAAAAAAAAACCATGAAGGCCTGTATTAAATGGGAAGCCTTACAGGTGGAATACTTCATTAATGTTAGTACCATAGCATTTGCCATTACTGTGAAGTTTGTAACAAAATTTGAAATTGCAAAGGCAGAGGTTACAAAAACCAGAACATAACCTCCGCAGAAGGTGGCACGAGATGTGCAGTATGACAAGCTACTCCTCGGTAACCATGCAGGCAAAAGAATTGGTGTAGAAAAGACAAAGCTGTTCAGTGCAATTTTTTTTTTTTTTTTTTTTTACTGTATTTGTAAAGGAGCAGGAGCCAGTATCCAAAGCCCACAGGCTACTGAGAAAATAACAAGTTTTACCACCACTAACCAAAGATGTGCAATTCTAGCAAGCGTCTCCAAAAAAAAAACCCAAACCCAAAAAGCACTACATCTAAGTGACTTGGCTCTTAAAATAAAGCAGCTGAGGGGATCTAAACCCACAGCATTCATTTTCCTCAAGTTTTAGAAAAGGCAGGCAGTTTCCAAATAATCCTTGATCCTGGGAAGGGTAAGAATTCCAGAAACACTGCCTATTTTAACATCCATACTAGTCAAGACAAAGGAGAGTTAGCTTACATTTGTTGATGGCCCCAAACCAGTTAAGTCCTTTCTTTAAAAGTGAAAAATTCTTCTTTCCCTTTTTAAAGCAGCAGATCCTAAAGCTACTAGGCTGTATGGCATCCCTGGTTGCTCCTCATGAACTACATATAAATACAGCTCTTTAATTGGATACACATTAGAAACCAGTTAATGAAGTACAGCTGTCAATTAAGGGACATCAGGGCCACTTTTAGCAATATTCCTGATAAAGCGGTCTCTATCAGTAGAGTCATGCACCGAGTCTAAAGTCTTTTTAGGTAAACTCGGAATAAATCAAGTGGGACCAGGAATGAGACTAAAAGTTTGACAATTTTGAACCACCTGGTTAAGTTAAACCATTATGTTCTACTGTCATCATAAAACAACCAGGGAGGAAGGATTCAGTATAATGCTACCTTGAAAAGCAGCAGCTAGGGACTGGAACAGAAGAGAGCTTCTTATCTAAACAGCCTCAAAACAAGCTCAGCACCTTACTGAAGTGGGGGAAAAATGCTATTGCAGTTTTTAACATACAAGAAAAGGTTCAATTAGAAGCAGTATTTCTTTACTGACAGTATTTATAAAATGGCCATGAGAATATAATGGAGTCACTACAAGACTGTTCAAAAGAGGTCAACAGAAGTTGGAGAATTCATCTCATGCAAGACTTGAGAATCAGTGTAGTGAGCTTGAGGAGAAGCAAAGCAATTCAATTACTGTGCTTAGGTACTTATTCAGAAGTCTGCAGACAGAGGTACACAACAACTTCATGTTGGAACTAAAATTGATCTTAAGTAAATGTCACTAGGCTTTTTGTATCAGTAATTTACCATTGGAACAGCTTAATGAAGGAGAACAGAGTTCATCTTCAAGAGCTACACTTTAAACTGACCTCGTCTTGGCATAAAACCTTTTCCCAGGAGCTAGAGTAGATGATCATATATAACCTCTGTGAGAGAAACAGCTCTCTCAATTAGCCAGAGCTCTTTTTTTTTAAATAAAAAACCCAAAACCACACTGCATGTGCCAGAGTGCTTCAGGTACACAGCAATGCAAAAACACAGCAAACAAAGTCCAGGAAAATAAGTTACTGTATGAACTGCATAGTTTTGTGTTCAAATGCCAATTAAAGAACCCAGTCCTTAGGATAAAGATACAAGCTTTTTGAAGCCCTCTGTGCAAGGTTTGCCAACAATTCAAATTTGATCAACACTGAGGTACTCTAAGAGGTCACACTAGGAAGTCCTCCCATCTTAAACTGATGGGACTTGAGGCTAATCCTACGGTCTGCTGCAGTTTCTAGAACTACATCCCTCTTGAATATCTTCCTACAATCACCAGTATGAAGTTGCAACAGTTTAAAATTGTACTATCAGCTAAACTAGAGCCTCACAGCAATAACAGCAAATAGTGGATTATACCTGCCTTGCTTAAATGCGTAAGAAAACAGAAGCTGCCTCTAAGTATAGCCTATTCTTTCTCATCTCTACACAAGTACAAAGGGATCAGTGTTGCATTTTCCTAGGGGAGCAAAGCAGTTTAGAACTTCTATATAACAAATTCAGCTATTTACAGGTATTTTACTAGCAACAGAACAGTATTACCTAATTTAGTCAGTATGAAGATTTAGTTTAACTTCTACTCACTTAGACCAAACTAGAACTAGTAAATCCGAGTTCACTTAATTTTCTGTATAAGTATCAGTACTTACTATAGTGTATCTGGAGGACCAATAATAAGGACTTCCCATCGATAAAGATCATTGTCATCTATTAAGCCCGCTGAAAAGCCTTCCACTGGATTTTTGTTGAGCTCTGTGTAGGAAAAAGAATTTAAGAGTGACTTTAGGTGTCTATGATATGCATTCACTGGTTTTGCTCATGCCTCTATACATGACCAAAAAACCCCATGACTTTCAGTGATTTGGCGCCTACTGATGGACTGATGGCCTGGGTGAGTATCCTCAGCTCCCTACCACATACAACAGCACGCTGCCAGAGCTGAGACCCATAATCTGACTCTAAAACTATTTAAGTACATCACGAGCAGAAGAGCCAAAATAACTCAGAACTGTGGGACATCGTCTCCTAAACTAGATACCAAGAGGTCTGTGTGCAAGTCAGAAAACAGATTTTCTACTAATAAAAAAGCCATACTGCTTTATAAGAACCCTGAGGAACCAGATTAAACTAAAGTCTATCTTTAACTCTAGAAAATGTTAACAGAAGAACAAAGTCACACTATGTTTTTACTTAAAACTAACATCCTATTTCCCTTAAATGATTTTTTTCAGAATCAGAAAGCATTTGAGACCTGTGCCCACTGCGTTCTGGAGACAATGATTTAGTACATTCTGAACTACTAGAAGAGAGCATAGAAGATAAGCTGTTATGCTGTTTAGGTTTGGGTTTTTTTTTATTTTTTCTTTTGTTTCACAGTTTTATCCAGTAGTTACAAGCAATACAAGATTTAAGTTTATAGGCTACTTCATATAGTTACTGCCAGGTAGAAGTCTTATCTGGAAATAGCTATGCAGAAGTCAGACCTAGATGTGGACTCCACTGAGTTTCTGTTTTCAGCCTGCTCCAGGAAAAAGCATAAGATTTGGAAACAAACACCTCAAACGAGTTCTGCCTAAAACTCAACTTGGGGTGGGGGGGAAGAGAACATCTCTTAACTGATAGCTGCCAGTCAAAAACTAATTTAAATGCCATATTGATGCCAAATTGAAATTCTCGATCCAGCATTTCCAACAGTACATACAAAATCCTGATGGATCTTGGGTATTTAGGATAGGGGAAGGGGAGAAAAAGTTATTCCTTCAACTGGTCAGTAATTTCCAGATTAAATTAGGGATTTTGTTTTGTTTTACAATTACTACTGCACTTACTTTAAACCCTGTCAGACATTACATAGCCCTCATTATTATATTCTACAGTACAGTTAGTCTATATAGTCCCTCTTTGTAAACCCAATAGCTGTATTTTGTGTTGATTTCTAGGCATTACAGACTTCAGTTCAGAGGGCCTTATAATGCCCTCAGGTACATGCAGAAGAACTTCAAGTGAGAACCTCATACCTTTATGGAGAAAAGGCTACCATTAAGTCCAAACTGATCTGCCCATAAGCTTGCAGTCACTGTTTGCCAGTTAAGTTCTTAACTATGTAAAACACGGTTAAAAAATGCAAGAAGAATCAATTCAAGCCCTACACAGAAGAGTCCATGTCCACACAGGGAAAAGAAAGTGCTCAGCTCGCATGAAGGACCAAGGTCCTGAAGAGGTAGATAGCAGAACCATCAACTTTGTCTGGCCATTAGTATTTCAGAATCAAATTAGCACTGATGACTCAATGCTAAAATCCCAAGAAATTAATTGGAAGAGCTTTTCTTAGAAGCTGCTCAGCAGGGGTGTAGTCAACAGATGAGGTCAACCATTCACTCTCCAAGTTGCAGGACAAAGACTTAGGTATTGAACCAAATCGTGTTTTCTCAAGGCAATGCCTGAAACAACAGGTGATATCACAGGCTATTTAACCAAGACACAAACCTGAAAACTAAAAACTATAGCATGGCCACACCTCCACTAAGCAGACCAGTTTTCACCCTCTGGCATCTATGAAACTTTGTGGAAACAGCTGCGTGAGTGTGAGTAACTTCTATTTCATTTTAGGTGAAAGGGGCAGAGAGACTAGGTAAGTGTCTCACATCAAGTGAGGACTTCACCAGTCATTTACTATCTCCCTACTATAAACATTCCTCCAGCATCAGATATTAAAAGTTCCACCACATTAGTAGTTGAATATAAACTGCTTTTTCATGCAGGATTTTATAAAAAAATGTCTATTGCTTGTGCAAAAAATCACCTCTGTTCAGGACACTTAAGTCATCCTTTCGGATATTACATTAGCATGTAATACAGAATATCCAGCGTAACAACTACAGAAGTCAACACAAAGAGTGCAAATATTAGATTTGAGTGTCTCACCTTAAGACTTTCAAACTTGAATTTGAGCCTCCAAAACATAACTTCCCTCATTTTTTCATTTCCACGGGGAGAAAAAGGTTTATGCTGAGTTCTGTGTAAGCTGCTATAACTCAAGCTGCTCAGATTTAGCTTCCTTATTGTTTGCTAGTTATCACTTCTCAGTGATCAGACTGTAAACAAGCCTGCCAGAAGTTAAGACTCTGGAAAATTCAGCATGCTTCTCTATCTAAATATGCCACACTATTTTCAAGTCCAACATACACATTTTCTTCTTTATTTCTTGATTCATGCTATTTCAATTTCTTTTTACATCTGTCTGAGCCTCCAAATAACTTTTTTTTATCCTTAAGTCCTTTGAAAGATTTTTCACGTACTTGTTCCCAAAGAAAGCCAGCTCTTACACTCTGACTCATACCTAAGACCTTGCAGCACTGTATTGCAAGAGATCTTGTGAGAAGGAATAAGATTGCTGGATGCCAACTCTTGTAATGCAGAAAATCTGTAAACTGTATGAAAGGGACAGCCGTTGACAAAAATCTTCAGCAGTTATGGAAATTTGCTTAGTGGATGTTGCCTATAAAGCAAATTATGATGTTACTTCTTTTACAGGAGGTGGCATCAGTCTCGGCTTGTAAAAGGTTCTCATTTTCCTTCCACGGCAGCAATACTGAAGCATAGTTCAAATAGCTACTGCTTGCACCAATACTTTAACTTGAGGTAAGACAATGGATATAAGCTCAGGCACCTTCTCCACTAGAGGTATGTAGAATTACCATAGGCAAGCTAAAGTCAGCTTTTCCATCCAGATTATTTATGCTAAACTGAACATCAACTAATGGCTGGTTGGCAGACAGAAAAGAATCTCAGGAAAGTATTGCACTGGGATATGAAAAACATCATCCTTGGCTGCTTTACCATGGATAGCTGAGAGCTGCTACTCATTAAAACTTGCAAACACTGAAGCCTACAGTTTGTTTGGTTTTGGTTTTTTCCCCTGGGTATAGCCAGCACTGCATATCAGAGTTAACTGGTAGTACCACCTACCTCTTCATGAGTTGAGACTCACCCAGTAGCAAAATCCATGCACCAAAATCGCAAATGAATAGTGATGCCACTATGGCAAGAAAGGAGCAGGGATACACTATGCTGGCAGTCACAGGAGTCGCCTTCTGCCCACCAGCCAGAGCCTCTGGTGACACTGACACTGCACTCCAGAAACCAGACACCTGTCCTCTGCGTCTGTCATTTCCTACCAACTCCAGCAGTTAACCACTTGCAGCCTGAACAAGAGGTTTCCTAGACGAACACACAGATAGCGAGTATGCTTCATAAAGCAAAGGATTCAATTCCTTTCCCCAGCCAGAGAGAGGCAACAAGCCCTTGGTGCAGGTCCTCTACAAAGCCCTGTTGAAGGGCTAGCCTACAAGTCCTGGAAAGGCACAGAAGTCAGACACCTATGAAGAACTGAATCCCTCCACGTTATTTTTTCAACACTTAGTTTTCCTTTGAGATTTATTGTTTAAAGATACCCTGTACTTTTTAAACATAAATGAGTACATTAACACTTCCGTCATGTCCATGCCAAAATAAGTGCAATTTACTTGCTACTACATATTACACAGTATGGTTTAGTATTTCTGCCAATATTTTCTGCATTTCTGATAGCTTAATATTACATTCACTCTAGAAGCTGTTTCAGGTAGAGTCCTTTGCAGCTCAAGCAGCGGCTGACAGCCAAAGCAGCACAAACCTAGACAGCTGCCAAGCAGCAACATACTGGGGAAGGAATCCTGTGGCTGCTTATAAATTAGCCATTCAGTCCCTTTAATCCCAGTCCTGAATCAATACCTGATTTGGGAGCTGAGGAAGACTACAGGCCCATAATCCAACAGAGTTGTTTAAGTCCAGAACAGACTTTAATGTCCAATGCCTAGCATCCCACATGATCTGCCAACACAACACAGTGCTCCTTTAGCGG